AAATGATTTTAGCAAATGGCTGCAATATAACAAAGAGTGAAAAATTTAAGGGGGTCTGAATACTTTCCGTACCCACTGTATATATATTTTTTTGTAATATATTTGTATGGAAGAAAAAGAATGCCATATGTCTTTGAAACAAAAAAAACGTTAAACACACGAACTGAAAAAAAGATGCATTGCATTAACAGCGCTTGCATTTTTAGGTCCTGAAATGTAACATAGTTGTTTATTTAAGATGTGAATATTTCAATTCTAAATATTTCACACACATTTAATTAATTAAAAATTCACTAATTCATATTCACCTTCCAGAATTCACTTCCAAAATATTCAATCTGTTTACAAATACGACGTATAATATTCGACAGGCAAATTTTCGGTCCATTTTATTTGACTGCTCGGTGAAGAACTCGTGCGTGTTCTCATCCACCGTCGCCGTTTCGGTGGAGTTTCCTGCTCAAACCACGAGGAAAAGAACAGAGAAATGAATTTACAAAGATTTGACTTATTTTTATTACTGCCTTTTTAAATTTATTTATTATTTAAAACTGTTTAATTTTGATATATTAATTATTACTGCCTTATTACTGCTTTTTGAAATGTATTAATTATTTTTTATTTATTAGTTCATTTATAACGGTTTAATTGTGATGTATTAATTATTATTGCCTATTTTAATTACTTTATTATTGAGAATTTATTTATGAAGTTTTATTTTTATTGATTAATTATTACTGCTGTTTTAATTTATTCATTATTTTTATTTGTTTATTTATTTATAACTGTTTTATTTTGATTTATAAATTATTACAGCCTATTTTTATTTTTGTTATTTTATTTATTAATTAATTAATAATTCTATTATTTTTATTTAATTAATGATTACTGCTTATTTAAATGTATTTACTAATTTTTGTATAAATGTTTTATTTTTATTAATTAATTATTGCTGTCTATTTTAATTAATTTGATATTTTTATTTATTAATTCATTTATAACTCTCTTATTTTGATTTATTAATTATTACTGCCTATTTTAATTAATTTATTGTTTATTATTTTATTTATTAATTTATTTAAATATGTTTTATTTTGATTTATTAACGATTACCCCCTATTTTTAATTCATTTATTATTTATTCAAGTATTTATAAATGTTTTGTTCAATTGATTAATTATTACTGCCTATTATCGCTGGCTGTTTTGGTGGAGTTTCCTGGTCAAACAACAAGAAATAAACACAGAAATGAATTTACAAAGGGTTTACACAAACATAATTGTTTTTTGCTGTGTAAAACACGTGATGATTCTCACCATCGCGGTAGATGTAGATGTTGAATCCATCGAACGCGGTGGGCGGCCGCGGCGGTAACCAGCGCAGCTCCAGCAGGATGGGCGGCAGCGGTGTGGGCATCACATTGGCTTCGAAGGTCACGTCCATCGCTGACCCTGGCTCATTAGAGTCCTCATATTCTGGCATCAGTGCGTTCACAAACTCCTCCTCCGCTGTGGGCAGAGCCGACGGGATGGTGTAGATGGTGACGGACTCGTTCAGTGGCATCTGTGTGACGCTCATCTCTTCGCCGTTCACTTCCTCTTCCTGTTCTTCAGCCGCAGGAATGTCACGTGCCCGCCGAAGGACTGATGCATTGTGGGAAGCCTTCAGAACAGCCGCGTGCAGGTCAGATTCAGATGCTCCTCGGCTGCTGAGGTGGATGATTTTGAGCGACACGTTGAGAGGAGGATTCGGGACTGGACGTGAAATTAACACACAGAACAAACACCATTTATCATATTTAACCAAAATTATAAAAATATAAATGATCCTAAAAACAGGATTTTCTTCCTGCAAAGTAAAATATTCTTAACATTTCCTTTGATTTCAGGGTGAAATGCACTCAAACTGCTGACAGGTTTCATTAATTAGTGAATCTGGAGGGTTTCCATCAATAATTAACGAGGCTCGTGCACTGCCTGCTCCAGCTCTAACCTCGTTCAGTCGTTCCAGCGCTAATTAAAGGTCATTTAAAGGTGAATTTAGAGCTTATGATCACATGACGGCTGACAGAAGAGCCTGAATGAGTCGTACCGGTGCGGTGGCGCAGGGGCTCATGGGTAACGTCGCTGCGGCTCACCAGCGTGCTCCTGTTGACCGTGGCCTCTGAGACCAGCTGGAAGCTGATGTTGGTGTAACACGTGCCCGACAGCCAGTGCTTGAACACTGTCTTCCCTTTGAAGAAATCTGCAGAGATAGAGAGAGTCCGAGTTCAGCCGTGACGAACACACACACACACGTAACACATGTGCGCAACAAACAGAAACACACACACGTAACACACATAGAAACACACATGCGTAACATGTGCGTAACACGCAGAATCACACACGCGTAATATGCAGAAACACATGCATAACACACACAAAAACTCACATAAGTAACACACATGTAACACACTATAAAACACATGCGTAACACGCGGGCAACAAATGCGGAACATGCATAACATGCAGAAACACACACACATAACACATGCGTAACACGCAGAAACACACATGCGTAACACGCGGGTAACACAAATGCTTAACATGCATAACACGCAGAAACACAGACATAACACATGTGTAACACAGAAACACACGCGTAACACAGAAACACATATGCGTAATATGCAGAAACACACGCATAACACACACAAAAACGCACACGAGTAACATGCAGAAACACACATGTGTAACACGCGGGTAACACAAACGCTGAGCATGCATAACACACAGAAACACACAGACATAACACATGTGTAACACGCAGAAACACACGCGTAACACAGAAACACATACGCGTAATACGCAGAAACACACGCATAACACACACAAAAACTCACACGAGTAACACGCAGAAACACACATGCGTAACACGCAGGTAACACAAATGCGGAACATGCATAACACGCAGAAACACACAGACATATACATGCGGAACACGAAGAAAAACACGAGTAACACAGAAACACATACGCGTAATACGTAGAAATACATGCATAACACACCCAAAAACACACGTGTAACACACAGGTAACACAAACACGGAACACGCATAACACACACACACACATAACACATGCGTAACACAGAAACACATGTGTAACGCGCGGGTAACACAAACGCAGAACACGCATAACACGCAGAAACACACAGACATAACACATGCGTAACACACGCATAACACAGAAACACACGCATAACACACAAAAACTCACACGAGTAACACACAGACACACGTAACACACACACACACACACGTAACACACACACACACATGTAACACACGCAGAAACACATACGCGTAACACACACGTAACACACACAGAAACACACACACACACGTAACACAGGTATAACACACACACACAGAAACCTTTATACAGCATGTAGCGTGGCTGACGGCCCTCCATGTAGCTGATGTTTACTCTCGTGTAGATGTTCCTGTCTGGAGAACGGATCTGAAACACCACGCCGGTCTCTGGAGCCGGACCGTAATCAGAGATCTCAACGCTGTCTAGAGGAAGAGGCTCTGAACACACACACAGTTCACTGATATATCAGACTGGAGAAACAGGAGACTGAAAAATCAATGACATTTTGTTGTAATGAGAATGAAGACACTCTCTTCTGACTTAAAACTGTTACTGAAAACAAAATAGTTAAAAGTGGATAAAAGTGGTCTGACTAAGTCTGACTAAAATACTACTATATCATGATGTAAGTCAGTTTATACCACAGCAACAGCACCACAACTTAGCTGATTCTTACTTCTAACTTTTTTTTTTAATTAATTAAAACGAATGTCCATTTTTTAAATATAAAATGCTTATTTTTTAATTATTTATTTATACGTTTTATTTTTGTATACTATTTACTACTGCAAACTGTTTTATTAGTTATTATATTGAATGTATTTATTATTTTTATTTATTCATTTATAAATATTTTATTTTTATTTATTTATGTATTTATAAATGTTTTATTTATTACTTATTACTGCCTATTTTTATGTATTTAATATTTTTTATTTATTAGTGTATATATCATTACTTTATTTACATTTATTAATTATTACTGCCTATTTTAATTTATTTTTATTTAATAACATATTTATAAAT